CATCCTAGTCTCCAGGGAAGCAGAAAACAAGCCTGCTCCCTCCTCCCTGTGGCTTCCTCTCACATATTTATAAATAAATAAATGTTTGTTTATTTATTTATTTACTTTATTTGTATACCGCTCCACTCAGCCCTTAGGCGACTCGGAGCGGTTAACAGCAACAGTTTCAGTATACAAAGTACAAGGTTATTGGGTATTTAAAAGCAATCACATAACAAGTTAATTAAACAGTAAACATCAATACAACAATATATCAATACATCAATATAACAAATCCATCAGATCTCATTACTAGAATCAGAATCCAGTCTCGTTATCCATTATTCCATGTTCTGCTAATCAATCAATTGCACTGCTTAGTCAAATGCCTGTTCAAACAGCCAGGTCTTGACTTTCCTCCAGAATGTCAGTAAGGAGGGAGCTGATCTGATGTCTGCAGGGAGGGCGTTCTACAGCCGTGGGGCCACCACTGAGAAGGCCCTGTCTCTCATCCCCACCAGGCGTGCTTGTGAAGCTGGCGGGACCGAGAGCAAATGTTGAAGAGTGGTCCCTGATCAAAGTGCTCCCTGGTCAAAAAAGCTTGTGAACCACTGATCTACACACTGTGTGTTTAGAATCAAAGAGTTGGAAGAGACCTCATGGGCCATCCAGTCCAACCCCCTGCCAAGAAGCAGGAATATTGCATTCAAAGCACCCCTGACAGATGGCCATCCAGCCTCTGTTTATACCTCTTTAAGGGCCATAAAATCCTGAGATCTTTAGGTTTACAAGTTCTTTCGCCTTCTCTGCAAAAGAGTGCTGATGCCTCAACACAGTACAACTCCCAGGATCCCCTAACAACGAGCCATGGCAGTCAAAGAAAGCAATGGAAGACAGTTCCAGAAAGCACAGGCCTGGGCTGCCAGGCTTTGCAGGTGAGCTAGGAGGCGGGGCTTCCACTGGGGAGGCCCCGCCCCCTTCCTGCCAAGTCTTACATCCGGGTCCTCGCAGCGCCGGAAGATCCGGGTCACGGCGAGCGAGTGAGTGAGGCGGAAGTCGAGACGTGGCCGCCTAGCTGAGGAGCAGCGCTAGCACTCTGAGGGGGGCGAGGCAGGCGATGGCGGCCGCGGCGGCGCTGAGCTCGGAGCGGCTGGAGGTTTCTATCGACGGCCTGACGCTCAGCCCGGACTCGGAGGAGGCTCCCCGCGGGGCCCAGGCCCAGCCCAGGAGGCCGCTGCCGGCTCTGGTGGCGGGCGACGGGGAGGAGGTCGAGGAGCAGGAGGCTCCAGCCGAGGAAGAGCCGGAGCGGGAGGCCTGCGAGGAGGAGGAAGAGGACGAGGACGAGGAGGAGGAGTGCGGAGACCGCGGGGCGCGGAGCCTGGAGCGGTGCTGGGGCTTCGGCCTGGAGGAGCTCTACGGCCTGGCGCTGCGCTTCTTCAAAGGTGAGCCCTTCCCACAAGGAAGGAAGGAAGGAAGGCGCCTTAGGCAGGCATGGGCCAACTTGGGCCCTCCAGGTGTTTTGGGCTTCAACTCCCACCATTCCTAACAGCCTCAGGCCCTTTCCTTTCCCCCCTCAGCCGCTTAAGCTGGGCTGAAAGGGGGCTGAGGCTGTTAGGAATGGTGGGAGTTGAAGTCCAAAACACCTGGAGGGCCCAAGTTGGCCCATGACTGCTATAGATACACATGAGACTGGCAAAACCAACATTTGGCAGAGAAGCCTGGAGAGTTTGTAATTTTACCACTCCCATCATTCCAAATCATTGAGCCACTGAATGTCATTGATGTCATTGTCAAGCAGCACTATTTCTACAGCTTAGAATAGTGGTTCTCAACCTTCCTAATGCCGCGACCCCTTAGTACAGGTCCTCATGTTGTGGTGACCCCCAACCATAACGTTATTTTCGTTGCTACTTCATAACTGTAATTTTGCTACTGTTATGAATTGTCATGTAAATATCTGATATGGAGGATGTATTTTCATTAACTCTGGGGCGACACCTTCTGCATGTTTAGCCTGAAGAAGAGAAGGCTGAGAGGAGATATGATAGCCATGTATAAATATGTGAGAGGAAGCCACAGGGAGGAGGGAGCAAGCTTGTTTTCTGCTTCCTTGGAGACTAAGACGCGGAACAATGGTTTCAACCTACAAGAAAGGAGATTCCATCTGAACATGAGGAAGAACTTCCTGACTGTGAGAGCCATTCAGCAGTGGAACTCTCTGCCCCGGAGTGTGGTGGAGGCTCCTTCTTTGGAAGCTTTTAAACAGAGGCTGGATGGCCATCTGTCAGGGGTGATTTGAATGCAATATTCCTGCTTCTTGGCAGGGGATTGGGCTGGATGGCCCATGAGGTCTCTTCCAACTCTTTGATTCTATGATTCTATGATATGCAGGATGTATATTCAGTCACTGTACCAAATTTGGCACAAATACCCAATATGCCCAAATTTGAATGCTGGTAGGGTTGGGGGTGATTGATTTTGACATTTGGTAGTGCGGGAGTTGCTGGGATTTATAGTTCACCTAAAATCAGAGAGCCTTCTGAACTCCACCGATGATGAAATTGAATCAAACTTGGCACACAGAATTCCCATGACCAAGAGAAAACACTGGGAAGGTCTGGTGGATGTTGTCCTTAAGTTTTTGGAGTTGTAGTTCACCTACATCCAGAGAACACTGTGGGCCCAAGCAATGATGGATCTGGATCAATGTATTGTCGAAGGCTTTCATGGCCGGAATCACTGGGTTGTTGTAGGTTTTTCCAGGCTATATGGCCATGTTCTGGAGGCATTTTCTCCTAAAGAGAAACCTACAACAACCCAGATTTGGATCAAACTTGGCACAAATACTCAGTATGCCCAAATGTGAACACTACTAAAGTTTGGAGAAAATAGACCTTGCCATTTGGGAGTTGTAATTGTTGGGGTTTATAGTTCACCCACAATGAAATAGTATTCTGAACCCCACCAATGATAGAATTGGAACCCCCATGACCAACAGAAAATACTATGTTTTCTGATGGTCTTTGGCGACCCCTCTGGCACCCCCTCGCAACCCCCCCAAGGGTCCCGACCCCCAGGTTGAGAAACACTGGCTTAGAAGCACTCACAAAATTTATTATTATTTGTTTATTTCATGCATTTCTACCCCGCCCTTCTCCCCCCGAAGGGAGACTCAGGGCAGCCTCACACAAGCGTCATATGATGCTATCAATATATAAACAATCAAAAAATTACTTTTAAAACATTAAAAATCTGGATGCATAGAAAACCCTATGCATTTCATGGAGGTGCTATAATTATCAGGCACCTTGAAGGCACATACACACAAAAGGCCCTTCCACACAGAATATCAAGACAGAAAATCCCACAATATCTGCATTGAACTGGGTTATCTTGAGTCCATGCTTCCATAATTGAGCCTGGAACCCCAGGTTTCAGCAGTGGCCAGGGGAGCTTTTGCACAATTGAAACTTGTGTACCAGTTGCCTTGGGAAGCCAGACTTGGCCATGATGGTCCACGCTCTTGTTACCTCACGAATAGATTACTGCCTTTAAAGACTGTGGGGTTGCTTTTAAAGACTGTTTGGTAGCGTCAAGTGGTTCAACGGGTGACAGCCAGATTCCTCACTGGGGCAGCATACATGGAGCACACAACCCTCCCTCCTATTTCAGCTCCACTTTCTGCCAGTCTGCAACCAGGCACAATTCAAAGTGCTGACTTTAGCCTATAAAGGCCAAAGGGTTCCAGCCCAGTTTGCCTGTCCGAACATACCTTCTCCATGAGCCAGATAGGAGGTTAAGGTCATCAGGGGAGGCCCTGCTCTTGGTCCCGCCTCCTTCGCAGATGCACTTGATGGGGCTCCCTCAGCTATGGAACCCCCTCCCGAGTGAAATCAGATCAGCCCCCTCCCTCCTAACCTTCAGGAAAAAGCTAAAGATGGGGATGTGGGACCAAGCTTTCCGTCAGTAACAATTTGAATGGCCTCTGATTATGGTATTGGACTGCATTATTTTAAATATGTCATTTTAATGTTTGATATGTTTTAATCAATGGTTTTAATGTATATGTTTTATTTTATTTATGTGTATTCACATTGGCATCAAATTGCTGTCTATATTCGCTCTGAGTCCCCTAAAGAGTGAGAAGGGTGGGGTATAAATACAGAAAATAAATATAATCCAGTTCAAAGCAGATACTGTTGGATTTTATTCAAGTGTGTGGAAGGGCCAAAAGGATGGGGTAGAAATCTGAGAGATTACCTCTCCCTGCTCCCTTGTGTCCCTAAATGTCACATAATTCAGACTGAAGCCTTTTCTGCCACCCACAGCTCTATTATGGTTGAAAATAGGCTTATATCTAGAAACATTCATGCAAGAAAGAAAGAAAGAGAAAGAACGCTCACAATTCTGCTCCCATGTTATTATTTCCCTTCCTTTCTGTGATAGTTATGTGCTACCTCTGTGTACAGTTTTGAGATGAGGAAGAGGGTCCCTTCCCTCTGAGACTCCCTCTCTACGGAAATTAGAAGAGCCTCTTCACTCCTCTCCTTTAAGAAACATCTAAAAACCTATTTTTGTACACTGGCCTGCGGAGAGGAAGATGATTAGCCTATCACTGGTTCCACCTGACTGACAATGCTATCAAGAATTATCTTAAAAACTTATAGGAGAGCCACATTTTTATATTTTGATACTTTATATTGTATACAGATTTTAACTGCTGAATGTGTTAGTTAGGAGGCCTGGTTGATTATGTGTTTGGCTAAGGTTGTTTGGTTTGGTGATTTTAAATTTTTTAAATTAAAAAATTAATTTTTTTAATTTTAACTTTTTGTTCTGTTTGTTTATTCTGTTATTTGCACATGGCATTGAATGTTTGACATTTCATTTTATTTTTGGAAGTCACCCTTAGTCCTCTAGGGGAGAAGGGAACAGAATAAAATAATAATAATAATAATAATGTGGAAATGTTTCTGCTTGCAAGGTAGTGAGATGTGTAATCTGCAGAAATGGTACTGAGAAGGTTAATATATGTGTCTGGACAGGAAATGTGGCTCAGGTGAACTAGAGGTGCACCTCTAGTTTCTTTGCAGACAGTCTTTTGAAACCAGGGCTTCATGTGCAGAGTGTTGCCTAGAAACAAAAAAATGTTACAGGTGAAAGATGTGATTCAGCTTTGCAAAAAGGTGGCAGGCATAGGTCTTCATGAAACTCATTTGCAGACCTGCCCTTTTAATGTAAACAGTTGTTTGCTCGGAAACTGTGCCATAAGGGAAGCTGACTCTATATGATCTTGACACATCAGTTTATCCAGGACATTCACACATGCTTTTATGTAAAATTGGGAGGGGGGATATATAAATAAGTATAGAATTACTTCTTGTTGATTGCTTGTCTAGATTCTTCCCTGGTTTCAACCAATTGTGTGTGTGGTAAATATAGTGACCTTTTTACAGATATTAGTACTGCCATGAGCTTAAACTGCATTTATTATACCAATGAGCCACTTGATATTTTCACAAAAAGAGTCTGCCACTTGCTCCATCCTAGTAGGCCGTGAATGAAATAAAACCAAACAGAGTCACTTACTTCACGTAGAGCTTGTTAGTGTAATGGATGGACAGGAAAAGAGGCTAGCAAAATACCCAGCACATCTCACACTTTGTTTTGTTTTAAGAACTTTGGTATTGCGTGTTTCAACCAAGATGAACTCAAGTTATGTGCCAATTAAAGATCAAATAAAACACCAGAGTACAAAATATCGAATAGTACATTGTTGCTGTAGACCCATTTCTGATTATTTCATATTTTTAGCACTACAGCCACTTACACGGGATATTACAGATGTTTCTTCATGTTATTGTGGCTTTTTAGTGATACTTGTGGTTTATTCACTTCACAATAGATATTGATATTGTTAATAAAGTGCATCTTTGTCTTCTAAAAAATAAACCAAGAATGGCCTTTTCTAGTAGGATGAAGTGCCACGTCTTTTATAGAGTGGTTAGTGTGTATTATTTTTCAAAGAGAGCTACAAAAGAAAGGTCAGCTGGTCTCTTTCTGAAGTGGCCTGATATTTGGAAATACTACGCGCTAGAGCAGGTGTGTCCAAACTTTTAAAACTGAGGGCCAGTTCACAGTCCCTCAGCCTGTTGGAAGATCAGATGATAGTTTGGGAAAAAAATGAATGCATTCCTATACACAATGTATATGTCTTATTTGTCATGCAAAAAAAACTGCATTAGAGAACAAAACAATATATGAAAAGAAAAACAAATATATAAACCCAATTTTCCTAGTTCCAACAGACCTCGCAACTTCTGAGGATGCTTGCCATAGATGCAGGCGAAACGTCAGGAGAGAATGCCTCTAGAACATGGCCATATAGCCTGAAAAAACCTACAACAACCCAAAAGAAAATCAGTTTTAACCAATGTAAACG